GACGAATCAACGAAATTACTACGTCACCGTACTCTCCTCGTCTTGTTCTCGTCTCTCTCTCTCTCTCTCTCTCTCTCCCCCCTTAATTTTCGCTCTCCCTCTCGTTCGAATTTTCGAATCGAATCGAATCGATCTATGGACCAACGGATGCGACAGATTCCGCTTTGCTTTTTTTTTTCTTTCTTTTCGTTTAAACAATTTGACGATTTTCAATTTGACGGAAGAAAAGAAGTAATAAAAAAAAACAAAAAAAACAAAAAATAGAACAACGATAGAATAGAAACAGGAATCCTGCAGGACATTTCGTCAGGTTGGATTTTGTCAAAAATACGGAATCTTGTGGAACGTGGATCTTGCGACACGCGGAAATGCGGCGTTTGCATTTCGCGTGTACCTGTATGTACGTATGTATGTACGTGTGTATATATATATATATATTTTATTATTACGTGTACACTTTGGTATTCGTGTATGTGTGCGCGAGTCTGAGACTTTGGAGATCGCAGAGACACGAAGAACGAAGGAAAATAGAGGGGATGTTCGCGAGGGACCGGGATAGAGAAGCGACCGCTGAGTTTGCGATTCTTCCTACCTCTCTGATCCGCCGCGAAATACGCTCTTCAATGGTCGAGCAATTGGCCAGTTCGCCGGACCATATGAAGCCGTCCACTCCTTCCTCATTTTCCTTCCTCCCTGGACATATATCCCCTTTCTTCTCCCCTCTCCCCCCTCCCCATCCTTTACCCCTTTTACCATTTATTTCCTCGCGATGCTCCATGCTCTTTGCTCCATTTCCGTGGGCGGTCGGGAGGAGAAAGGGAGGACGATAAGGAGGGGGGACGGCGTCGAGGAAGCCGATGATGCGATTCCCGTGGCGGTATCATCCTCCTGTGATATTCACCTCGCTCGAAATTATTCTCGCTCGATCTCGAGAATGGATACATTCGTATAATCTAGAGATTACGAGACGAAAAAGACCTTCTCGCGCGATCGTCCCCGTTATTCTCTATTATTTTTTTGTTTCTCGACTCGATACGACGTAGTGTCACGAAGCGTGTCAAAATTTTCGTTTTATCTCCCATTCCCGGTTATTCGAGACGCGTTGTTGACCGAAAATATTTCATTCGATCCGCGAGAAATTGTGGGTATTGCGCAACGGAACAATGGAAACTTTTCAACGGAAAAAATTGGACAGACGAGAATGAAAGAAAGATCCGCGTGAATATTTGAACGATTAATCTCGAGGAGACGATTCCGCGGTTCGAGCAAAAGGCCATCATATATTTCCACGTATATATAGATACACACACATATATATACATATATAGATCTTTCCTCGGCGCGAAATCGAGAATCGAATTTCCGCATTTCTCCACGGTTTAATAATTTTTCAACGGCGGTGACCGATCAAACCGTTCAATCGCGCGGGCAACTGGTTGCCAGGTCGAAGATCCGCGCGATCGGATCGAACGATTCGTTAGATCGTATAGATCGGCCCTCCCCATCGCCTGTCCAAGGTCATCGAAAGACTATGATCGATATACGGGTTACACGGACGCACACGGGCGCGCACGGAACTCGTTCGTTCGCAGGAAGCGTTTCTCGTTACCGCGCGGGGAACCCGAGTTAGAATCTCAGGTGTCATGCTGGATATATCTCGAATGGGTCGTAAAAGGTTGGCCGTGTAGATACCGATCCATGTGGAAAGTCGGATCGCTCGATAACCCGGGGACCAAAGTGACAAGCGCGATCTACGCTTCGATCGGATCGAACGTCTCCTTTAATTGGTGCTAGTCCAGACTCATTAACGATAGAGAGAATATCTGGCGAAATTTTTCCATTCCTCTCCTCTCCCTTCTTCTTTTCCTTTCGCGTTTCCTCCTTTTCTTCTTCTTCTTCTTCTTCTTCTTCTTCTTCCTCGCTTTCGATGGAATATCGAATGGTACGGATTCGCTTTTGATACCATCATCGTGATTCCTCGACGCGATTCGTGGAACAGGGATGAAGGATCAAGGGACAAGCTGATCGTGTATATATATATATATATGTTTGTGTGCGTGAGTGTGCGTGAGTGAGTGTACGGTAGGATGCAAGGACCTTCGACGATCGGAATACTTACTCGCTGTTGAGCACACGGAAGGATTTGGGTGACATACAGTTGACGCTCCAGTCGGTGTTCCCGTGCTCGTTGCATATCGTTATCGAGAACCTTCCGTAATTCGCTCTGATAAGATGGATCAGCTTCCCCTCGCCGCACTCGATCCACAATGTTTTCCCCTCGCAGGCGTACGCGGTGTCGTACCTATCTGTAACACAAAATAATGACACAAAATTATCGAATCGAATACGCGGCCGACGTGCCGTGATACCGTTTCGAACAGCACTCGATCGAAATTAAATTAAAAATTTATTTCTTTCTCGACGAAACTTTCCTTCCCTATGCTAAAATAAACAATCGTTCCACGCGAAATAGTTTAAAGAATATTGTTATTGTTCCCCGTTTGGCGAGAAAACCTCGATCCTTTCAAATCGGAGCCTTTTTAGCCACCATGTTTCACTTCGTACTCGAAAGCGGCGTCTACGCAACGAGGGTCTAATTAGTCGCCACGCGATCGGGGGAACAATGAGAAAAGGAATAAAATAGCGCGGAGTCACGAGTCTGCAAAACTGCAAAGAAACAACACCGAGGGCCTTGGTTCACGATAGCCAGCCAGACGAAGGGAGGAGGGTTTGAATTACAGCGAGTGAATAAGGAGTCCAGGGTGGAGGGGGGATTTGAGATTCGCAAGCGGCGAGAGTCAAGGACACGTCAAAGTAGCTTTGCACGAAATTACAGTGACGAGTCGGTTGGGGAGAAGGGTTGGGCCGGATGGGGTGGTTGCCGGGCGCATTACCGACACGCGGTTGTTGTGCACGGAGAGGGCCGTGTCGCGTTTCCAAGTGTAATGGAATTAAGATAAAGGACACCGGTATATAGACGACGCGCGTATATACAGGGGGCGCAAACAACGAGACCACAGAGAGAGGGAGACCGACGGAAGATCGAGATAGCCCCATCCACTCGTCGCGGATTTATCCCGCGGAAAATGCTCTCGCGGTGGATTTCCTTCGAAAGCGAATTAGCGAATTTACAGGCGCGACTTTCTTCGAAGAAAAGTCACTCTCCTCTTCGCCCCTTCGAGTTCTCCCGGGACTCGAGATCCAGCTCGTGATTATTTTCGTTTAATGGCCGCGAAAATGGTTGAAGTATTATATTACAGAGGAGGGATAGAGTTCCGCGTCTTTCCATATTCTGAAACAGTATATTCTCGATATTTATATCGTTTGTTGATCCCAGGATCGGGAATCGGGATCGATATCGAGGAAGATGTGCACGAGCAAGAGATTGGGTAAGAAAAATAAAGGAGGGAAGAAAGGAAGTCGTGAAACTAGGTTCGAGCTTATTTGGACGGAGGAATGATAGATCTGCCATAATACCGGTCAGCCTTAACTCGGTGACGAAGGGTGCGGGCGGCGTGTCCTCGAAGAAGGAAGAAGGTGGAGAGAAGTATAGGCGAGGGGAAGGAACCGAGAGAAGGTTGGCTGGCAAGAAGGAGAGGAATAGAGACTGGTCTACTATAGCGGAGAAGAAGGGGTGTAATAACTCTGTCCCCGTGAAAGCCCCGTCGTGAGTTCATTAGTTCCATACGGACGCGCCACAATGCCATTTTAGACCGCTGTTAGGACCGCTTCTCCAACGCCTCCTATATTTTACTTTCTTTACTTCCACGTGGATAATCGGAAGAGAATCGAAAAGAAAACGCGAAATTCTAAAATTCTTCTCTTTAAAACGTAATATAGATATATATATATATAAAGGTGCGACGACTAATAGTGCGAGATCGATATCGGCTTATTACTAGTTTTTTTTTCTTTTTTTTACGAGATCGTTCTTCCCATCGAACCGAACGACAAGAAAAAGAAACAAACAGGATTAACCTTTAATAAGGTAAACGTGAGCCTATCAACTCGTCGATTCGACAAAGAGTGTTGCACGTTGCACGCTCACCTGTGTTCAGGTTGTATACATTAGAAGAAAGGAGGCGTAAAAACGCGGGGTGTTTCGAAGCGGCGCGAAGAAACGCCGATTTTACGGTATCTCGAAGGCTTTCCATTACCGTAAAAGATCCGAAGGAATTCGTTTTAAACGAGAACAAAATCACGCCGGTCACGCTACAACGGATTCCTCGAGTCGTAGGAGGGGGAGGGGAAAGGGGAGAAGGCGGGGGAAGGCGGGAGAAAATAGTAGGATTTTACAGTAGGATCCGAGTAATTTCTCACCTTAGGTTTCCTTCCTAAGGTGTTCGCGTCGCGATTAACCAGAAGACACCGACCCCCACGGTTACTTATTTATTCCTCGCCATTAATTAAGCCCGTCTCGATACAACACCATAAGCGGCGACTAATCGACACGCGCCCGTGTATCGTTGCATCGGTTTCGAAATGCAGAAATGCAGACGCCGTATCGTTCGTTATCACGGCACGTAACTATTTCTACGCTACTAGAAACGGAACAACGAGGTTGGCTTGCGTGAAACGAGGTGTCCTAACCGCGGCCGCACGTCGCTCGTTCGCTCGCGCGTCACTCGCAGCTGCGCTCCGCAACCGGTGGTGCATTCTTCTCTGCGGTGCGCTTCTAACGTGAGCGCGATGAAAAAAAGGCCGCGTTCAAGCTGACGTGAAGGAACACGCTCGGAACACACCAGCTTCCTCCACTCCAGCTTCGAACGCCGGCGGCATTCCTCCCCCTTTTATCACCGAGGTGGTCACTTTCGTCCTTTTTTCCTTTCCTTTTTTGCTTTTGTTCGTCGCGTTGCGACCGGAGGGGTTCCAGTTTTTCAGGCTTCCGAATTTAATGCAGGCGAGAGTTGTGTTTTTGCGTCTTTTAGCGGTACGGTGTGTAAAGGTGTGTATTCGAAGTTGCGTGTCGTTGCCGTTTCTCGAATACGTTATCGAGGCACGTGTGTACGAGAGCCGTGATAATATATCCTTCCCTCCTCTCCCGGTTACAGGGCGAAACACTACAATAGGGGAAAGGTGTTTTTTTGTCGAAAGCATTAAGGTGTGTATATATATATCGCGATAATTAATCGCGATCTCTCGACGCGAACAGAACGATCTGACTCTTCTCTTCGTTTCCATCGAGTCAGATCCGTTGTGAACATCCGGCGACAGCGACGACTTTGCTTACTTACTTACTCGTCACTCGCTTAAATGCGCGCAGGTTAAAAAAGGGGATGGAAAATTATTAGAGAGAGAATGTGTCTCTTCCCTCTGTTGGGGAAACTCCGCTCGCTGTCTTAGGGGAAAAAATTTCCACGCGGAAACACCCGAAGGATAATGACGACGCGCGGAGATGGCGCGCGCGCAATAATCTCGCTCGTCGTCTCGTAGCAGAGAGGAAGAGAGAAAACGAGAGGAAAATCCGCCTTCTTTTTGCCGGAGTTCTCGCGTTTGACCCTCTCGCGTCGCACTTTGACGGAGTGCATTTCGAATGAATGCCGTGAAAAGTTTTTAACGAGTGCACTCTCTCTCTCTCTCTCTCTCTTTCTCTCTCGCCGTCTCGCTGCAACGCGTCTAGGCGAAAACGACGAGACGACGAGATTCGAAAGTGTAACGACGCTATCGCGAAATATTCCAACGAGATTGCTGAAGAGCGCTGCTTACTACGCCCCGCCTCGATCGGGACGAAGACAATCGCAGGAGGAGAGAAATGACGTCAGGGATGATACGAAGTAATGTTGCTGTTGAAATATTTACGGGCCATCCATCCGATATTCTCCTCGATGGAGATGCATTTTTTTTAATCGTCGCTCTTTTTTCAACGTCCTCGACTTGTCTTCGATGCATAGAGATCCCTCGAAATCGGGAAGATTGAGCAACAATCCACGTGCTCGGCGTACGATTGTTTCGCAACGACAAAGACTTTCGAGGCTTTCGATTATTAAGAATTAATCGCGTCTCGATCGCGCAACGTTCGAGAGAAAGATCTGACGAAGCGAGATTGCGGTAGGGGAGACGCGGATTTCCACAGCACAGTCCCATTGAAGCTCTTTGAGGCAGGGGTCGGCCTCTTGTCGTCGCTGTCTCGCGACAGACACCGACGGGGAAGGTGAGAACGCCGCAGGATTTCGTGCGGTCAATGCGCAGCCTGAACTCTGCCCAGGGACTCTAAGTACGGATTCTGAGGCGCGACGGGCTTCAAACTTGGCTAGGAACCCCTCTCGTCCGTGTTCACGGTCCCTGTGTGTACTCGAACGCTCGGCTCCCTGTATCGACTGCATAAGCGCGCGTGTACCCGTGAACGATGGGGTGGAAGCGCTTGAATACCGACAGCTCCTTCCTCCTCTGGGACAAAGTTTCGAGGGAGCCTTGTTCCCCGACCGTTTCTGTGTTTCCAGTCGTTCGATCGTTCTCGGGATTTACGCCGATCTCGAACGGCCAGGATCCGTATTCGACCGCGCGAATCTACCGTGGCCATCGGCTTTCGAGAGTCGAAAATTCTCGCGTTTACGCCTCGCTTCGACGATGTTTATTGAGAAAAAGAAAAAAAAAAAAAAAATTAGACGATAAAAAGAAAATATCGACGCTACGTTTCCAGATAAAGATACGTACGATGCCGATCGCTCGTCGCATCGTACGATATCTTGTGAACAGCGACTAGAGTAGTGGCGGATCGATCTTTGAATAGAGATCGTTACGTGCTTTCAAACGAAACGAAATAAATATCGCGTGATTTGAAAAATTAAAATTAAAACCGATAATTACGAGCGAACGGATCGATAAGGCTCCACGCCTTTCAGATTCCTCGGAGATAAGGTGAACTTTCGAACCTCGAATGAAGATGAGAAAGGAGAGAAAGAAAGAGAGGGGGGAAAAGGCGAGACCCAACGCGTAGATGAGAAATCCAAAGTACCCGAGGTATTAGCGTTTCCCCGAGGGGGGATAATTAATTACCTATACCACTCCATCACACTAGCAGGCAGGACGTATCGCCAATAAAGCATTCGATATTTCTCGATTAATTCCAGATCCGTCGAGCCGGTCTCCGAGACACGAGACGCGTACCAGAGAGAGAGAGAGAGAGAGAGAGAGAGAGGACGGACGCCGTCCTTC